CGTGGCAACCTCGTCCAACCACCTCATAGGTTCTCCTTTGCCTGACCTGCCCCCAGCGGAGGCGCACCTGATGCTCCCGGTGGCCGACGGATGCCAAAGTTTGCTTTCCGTGCTTCGTCGATTCGACCCTTCGCCAGGCTGATACCGGGGACGACCCACTCTGAACAACTACATTGCATGCCCTGCCAGGCATACTTGCCTACGTTGGTGTGACACTTTGGACACTCGAGTCGGCCTTCCAACTTGCCTTGTTCGAGCTCGGGGCGCATCCAGGACAGGGGATCTAGGAAGTAGTGGGAACAGTTTTGCGAAGAGGCTTTCTTAGCTTCTGGTATCTCATTGCTGACGGAGGGAGCTGACCCATGCGATAGTAGATACGTTGACGTTGCTAATGCTCGTCTGAGATTTTGTAAGCGCTGAGCAAGACGGGCGGCAACAGGCAGCAGGGTGGCATCAATCTGCTCTCGCACAGCTCCACTTACCTGCATTTACGACATCTCAATTCGAAGCCGGAAGTTTCATCGGTGACATGTTCGTCTTCGAAGCGGATCTTGTCCGCCTCGGGAGCTTGGCCACACGCGCGGCTCAGCTCGATCTCGCGTTGGTAGACCCAGCGCTGATAGGCCGGGGTGTCTTCGACATTCTCTGGTGTCTGCATCTCACCGTATAGCTCGAGCTGTTTCATGAAGCCCTCGTTTGGTTCGCAGATGGATCGCGCTTGCCGAACGTGCGACAGAGCTTCCGATGGGCTGATGTTGTGCTCTTGCATCAAATACGCGATGACGACGGTAGCCGATCGTGACTTGCCCATAGCACTAGAACAGAGGTTGTGGTTGGCATATTGATACGGGTGGCTGAGGGCAAATAGAGTGGCGACAGGGCGGTGTAGTTCGGAGAAAAAAACGCGGAAAACGGAAGGCGAGAAAAGATGGAAAAGAGGATGCAGGACGCGCGGAAAGCAAAATCAGGCTGCATGACTTGCATGCTGGTGACGACGCCCAGGGGCTGTCGTCTTTTGTGAAGATGGCAAAATTGCCAAGCAGGGCAGTCGTCGGCGGCGATCCAGAGTTGTTGGAATATGCAAGTGCAAGGCTTCATTCAGCTCGACCGGGATGTTGACTTACCAATGCACCAAGACTCCGCCACCTCCCTGGAGCCCCTCCCGGATGAAGCGGTTTGTAGCAGGGAAATGCTCCAATAGATTCTCGTCGTCGACATCGTCGACCTCGACAACCATGTGCTTGAAGGGGCCAAACAAGTCTTGATCTAGTGGTGTACGCAATACCGACAAGACGTGCGTGATATTGGCTTGCTGGAGGGCTTCGCGCCGTCGCAGCGTGAACATGCTACGCAACACTGGTTAGACAGTAGTCTGGTGACCCCAGACCTGGGCCATGGGGTAGATGCGAAACGATGGTCGACCGTCGACATTACGTACCCACCAATGTACAGGTTCAGGTCCCCGGGCACTCTGTCGATGAGCGCCATGATAGGCAAAGGAAGGGCTCCGAGAACAATCGGACGCCGGAGATGAGGGTATGACGATCAATAAACTTGGAAGAGGCGCGAGTTGTTGGAGGTGTGCGAGAAGAGGGTCTAATTTTGGCCGAGGGTCCTGGGTTTCTGATCGCGCGTGCCCGCCAAAATTGCGGACCACCCGTAATTGCATCAGATAAGTGGTTTGTTAAATTTGGAGATGCTGCAACACGCTCGATTGACTGCTACATAGTGTGTTCACTTTCGAAATCCTTGCATCAACGTATGAGTTTCCAAAGTTGCATGTCAAAGGGCACGGCCAAGCATCGCAGTGAAGACACCACCAGCTTCAATTACGTTGCCGAGCTAGTAGTTCGTAGCCTTATAGGTGCATGGACTATGTTCCACGCCTTGCCCGTACTGACCCGTAGTTCATAGTCTTTAGTGAAGCCCTTTGCAATAATAACTGTCATGGAGAGAGTCATGCGTCGTTGCAGTCAGCGGTATTTTCCGCAAGACCGCGGGGCTACACACAGTGGATCAGGGACTGCATACCATTAACATGGATGAGGCTATAGCTCGAATCGAGAAATTCCAGTTCTATGATGGGCTAAGACCGTTGTTGCTGCGCCCCCAGCGCATTTGAGTTGCCCGAGCAGCCGGAATCCTGGACAGTGGTCAATGAATGCCATGTTTTGTCTTGTGTCGGTGGTGTGGTGTTGCTGGCATCGTGAGACAGGCAATATTGCAGCCGCTACCGAGAGACAGAAATAGCGAATTGCTTGTACTCCCCGGCTGCTCGCAAGGCTGGCGGTGCCGCCTCGTCCCGCATCTCGGCGAATCGCATCAGACTCCTCTGGCAAACGGGTAGAGGAGCGGTAGTTGCGAATTTGATATTCCATGTCGCCGACGAGGGTTGCAAAGTCGCTGACATCACGCACGCGTTGCTGGTTCGCGCTGTCTCAAAGCAGCTGGAGCGCCGCTTACCTGACCATAGGGCAGGACCCACTCGCCGGTGAATGCTACGAGGTACCACTGTGGCCCTCCGACTGCAATAGTAGGTTCGGCTTGGGGCCGATACCCCGGAGTAATACGCGTGACAGCACGAGGTACCCTGGATGCATCGAGATAGGGCCCCAGATAGAGGGTGCCGTTCTCGGCCTGTATGTACGACGAGTGCAGGTACCAAAAATACCATGGTGCACCAGACAGAGTGCATAGTGTGTACGCCCCGCAGTGATGAAGGAGACGGATCAGCAGATCAGCGTGCGGTGGGTGACAGCCGTCTCAGCCTGACTGATGCCCAGAGGGTCGAGTGTAAGGCTGCTCTGGGCTTACGCTGTTGGAACTGCTCAGCATCCGTGCACTGGCCTCCCGCTACCCGCCGTCGAGTCTAACCCACACGGTTGAATCTGACGCTGTGCCGTCTGCACCGCAGTCCCCCATGCCCATCGAGGCGAAGCGCAACGTCTGCATGTTGGACAGTCTGGTCAGATTCGAGGCATGCAGCCCTCGTCAGCCAGCGGGCCTGCGCCGTCGGCAGCCTCTGCACCTGCCCTACCAGCCCTCTCACCGTTGCACCGGCCTGACGTCTACGCACGGCGGCTCTACTTGGTCTGCGTAATGATGCTGGACGAGCGGGCGCCAATCCTCGATTGAAGGTTCCGCCCGCCCACGCTGCTGGGAGTCGTCGCCCGTCACTGCAATCTACGAGGCGACGTCGAGGCGCTAAGGGCAAGCCCTATGCACGAGACGAGCGTCGCGGCGTGGACCTTGAAGCTTCTCGAAAGCGAGAGCCCTCCCCCGACCGCCTAAGGGTTGCATCTCACCCCTGCTGGAGCTCCACTGCGCTCCGTGCCAGGAGCAACCAAGGCATGGCCAATCACCGACATTCGAGCGTATGCTTTATGCTAACCGCACTCCCCGGTGGAGGGCGTTTCTTCTGCTCCGTCTGCCAACTGCTGCTGCTGCTGCTGTCCAGCGGCGCCTCTGTTCTGCACAAACATCGACGCGACGGAACAGACGACGCCGGCGGCCGAGCACGCTTCCTTTTCCATTCTACTCCACTCGCCTCGACGCTAGGGACCCTACCGCATTCCCGCGCCATCTTGTTCGCTGCCGTGTAGCAGGAGCTGTGCGCTTCCGGGGCCCTGACGACTCTTCGCTGCATTGCTCGCACCAGACTGGTCATATGACGACTGCTTTCGGGTGAAAAGAAGCAATATCTTTGTGTGGCGGTGCTGGCCAGAACCCTCCCGTTCAGCTGAAGGACCCTCCTCCCTCGTAGGGCTGAACTTTCAACAGCCGCAAGCGCTAGCGCCCCCGCTTTCGCTTTTGTAAGCCTCGCCGTCGAGAAGCCATCCCAACGACGCGTACGTCCCCTCGACCGACCGCACAGGTACGTTGCACGTTAGTACGCAATCGCGCGAGCTCAGCTGCCTCTGCCCGCCCTCCTGCTCCCATTCCCTGCCTGTTTCGGCCAGTCCGTGTACTTTCCGGCTAACCATTCTACTCCAGGGTCCGTGCTTGCATACACTATCCAGTAGCGAGCATACTCACTCTTGCTCGTCGCGCTCGCCACATTTGCGCTGCTCGCGTGCTGCGCGAGTACGCTTCAGCTGCACCTTAGTGGCGGGCTCCCGGCGACCTCATCTTCCACGCGAGCCATGTCCTCCACACCGAGTATTCGCGTATATGATTCTCAGCGTGAATCCCACCACTACCAACTACCACACCACCGCCGACCGTCGATACCAACCCCGGCTGTCGCAATGGCCATCCCGAGAGTATGTCAGCTTGTGCTCCAGCTATTGGATACAACGGAGAGGGCTAGAGCACTTTGTGGCTTCATCACGCCTGAAATAGCTCCTGATTGAGTCGCAAAGCACTTCAGCCTCATCCGAGACACAATACGTCATATGAATCCCTCACTGACTGTACCGTTTTTACAGGCACGCGAACAGCCACCACCTCCCTTGCCTCCTCCACGTCACATCGAAGTCAGAGGTGGTCAAGACCCTGGTTGGCAATGGGGTAACACAAACAGCCCAAGGGACACCGGCTTTGGCGGAAATCGGCTCGCGACAGTCAAACCTGGCTCGAGCTTATACGGTGGAGCCACAGGCGGCCACCCGCGGGAACCTTCGCTCGATATGTTTAACCACGGCCGCGAACCGTCCCTCTCAAGATCCATCGACGGTATGAGCGAACACAGCACCAGCGAAGACGACCGTAGTAGCAAAGCTCGGCCCTCTCTCGGGAACCACAGGTACGGAACACGCTATTACATCTCCCTTCATATCATAGAGCAACTACTATCAGGGCTCTTGCAAGGCGCTGCAGCACTTGCGTGTCTTTGGTTAAGATGCGGTGTTGTCATTTCTCTGGCAGATCCCGGTCTTTTGGAGGATTCACACGCTTTTCGATTGGTCCAAAACTTGTCAAGGGTTGCTTGTATCCCTTGTGCATACAAATGGCTGGCTTTCTCATTTCAATCGTCTTGCGTGCCAGTTGGATAACTAACAATGAGCGACAGGTTTACGAGTGAGCGACAACTCGGTCAGAAAGCCCTCCAGAACTCATCGCAAGCCTACGATAAACAGCTGCTTTCGAAAATTGGCGGCCCGAATACACCCACACGGACGACTGCACCACCACTCCCCTCTGGCAACTCCCAAGACCCCGCCGCCGATACACACGCTTCTTCACATAAGCTCAACGGTCAATTGAAGCCACTGACTGTACCGGCTACATCACCTGGCTACAGCGGCTGGCGAAGTCCCGGCTTCGACTCGGCGGATTCATACAGATCACGTTACGGCAGCATCTCAACGCCAGGTCCTTTGGACGAAACTTCTTCACAACACCGTGGTAGCTACGATCATAGCATATTTTCGGACCCTGAGTTTGTTGGCATGGAAGAGAATGGAATGCGCGATTTGAACATCAACGAGCGCAGCCCTGCCGAGTCAGAGGACTATCAGTTAGGCCCAAAGGGTGGCCTGAAACGGCGGGCCTCGTCCCCGCCCTTTGAAGCCGCGCGCGATGACCGTCCCATTCCGACTGGCCATAACGACCTCTACCACCGTCGCTCCCAGCAAATGCTCGTCAATCGGAACTGCACAGCTTCGCGTTTTCAGTCAACCCAAAACTCACTGTCCTCCGCTGGGTCCGCAAGCCAACGTAGTGGCTCGATTGGCTCCTCATTTGGCTTTTCAACCGCTCCAAGTAGCATGGCAAGTTATTGCGGAGATCAGCGCCTATCGCCCAGTGCGTTGTCGCCTTTGGGCGAAACAGAGTTAGGCGCAGTCTCGCCATATGCAGCTAATAGGTCGTTGGACCCTAGTCCCCGCGGGTCGTTGTCGCGACCTCCGCATCAACGGGGTTTCTCAGAGGCCGAGCATCCGCAGATACGAAAAATGTCTACGGAGAGCATGCTTCACTCACGTCAGAATTCAATCGCAAGCCGCATACCGGGGGCTTATATTTGCGAATGCTGCCCTAAGAAACCCAAGAAATTCGACAGTGAAGATGAGTTACGGTAAGTGCATGGATCCTCGCTTGCCCACCGCCATTTGGTCTGCCCACCCTTGAATAACCACGCTGACCCTGGCCATAGAGCACACGAACTAGAGAAGCAGTACACTTGCTTGTATTGTCCCAATCGCTTCAAGAATAAGAACGAGGCGGAGCGCCATCAGAATTCCCTTCATCTACGCCGTCATTCTTGGTCATGTGCCACTCTCAACAAGATCGAGGCAGCTTTCCATCCCTCACCTACTCGTCCAGCCGTGGCAGATGTGTGTGGGTATTGCGGTGAAGAGTTTCCCAACCCTGCCGACTGGGAAGCGCGAACTGAGCATCTTAATCACGTGCACAAGTTTGGTGAATGCAACCAAGCCAAGAAATTCTTCCGCGCAGACCATTTCAGACAGCACTTGAAGCATAGCCATGCTGGAACCAGTGGGAAATGGACCAACATGCTAGAGAACGCCTGCATGAGAGACGAGCCCCCACCACAAGAGCGTGTTGGCTCGATGGGTTCTATATCCGGCCCCTCGAGCCTAGCATCCAAGCCAGGTGTTATTAACGAAGCACACGACGAGGCATGATTTCGAAAAATTTGATACTACTGGCCTGGAGCCATGTACAGCGCTGCCGGATGTTGGAGATTATTCAAGATCCGTAGCAACGAACCCTGTGGCTTATCCGAGCAGCTTTTACCTGCCGAACCGGACCCTTCAGCAACATCGTCTCGGTCGAGCCGACACTAGCACTATCTTCACATTAGTATTCGTCCCATAGAGCGGCACTCAGACATTGCCTCATTTTTACGAAAAGTTTTCACGCCCGCAGACTGCTTCGCAATTTCTTTTGCCTCGGCGGCGAAACCGGGGCACTTTGGTATAACGACACTGATGACGGCATTCGGTTACACATTAGAGATATATCTACACGGCCCACGACATTTCTGGTGCCACTCAGAGCGGCAAATATGTTGCATTTCAAGGATGTTTTATCGATTCAGCGGGCGTTGATAGGACAGGAAGTCCAGGATTATTGTTTCAAGCGAAGACGTCCAAACAGTCTTTTTACCTACTATACAGCATGTGTGTCAAGCCAATGCATGAAGAAAATCTTTCCAACGTCTCATTGACCTGAAGCCTCGCCGGCGAGGCCGAATGCAACACTAGAACCATAGTCTTGGCAAGCGGGATCGTTATTTCCGGGTTTTGATACCCACTTGAGCCGCGAGTCCGTACGGCGGAACCAGTTCATCTGACATCATCAATAATTCAAAAGAATTTTCCTGCTGGCGCACTGCCAAGGGGCAAAGCAAGTTCAGCTGTCTGTCGGCGTTCAGCACTTGGCCTTGGCACGCCACCACCACCGCCATCAGCCAACACTCGTTAGCCCCTTTACACAGTACATCGACTACGCCGACACTGCCCCGCTTCGTCGACAGCATTTTACATGATTTCATGTCAGCTGTATGTGGCGGATGGATACTCGCCAAGATCTGAAGCACGTACCCAGAAATCAAAATATGTGGGCAGAGGCGTGCGCGTCCTGTCAGCGAGGAGATGCTCGCGTGATACCACATTGAGAGAGCGAGTATGCCTCCTAGATAATGGCACTCCATCGCCAATGTAAAGGCAGTGTACAGCCAGCTGAACACATGCTATTATCTGCTCGCGTGTGCATGCTCGTCCAACGAGCTTGTACGTAGCAACTTAGAAGGGCAAATGACCCTGCAGTTGCGTTCTAAAAGATGCTCTCTTTAATTGTACGCTGAATTAGAAGGCCAACATATCGAAGAAGCACCTGTGGTAGCTTCGTGAACTCCGCCCAAGCTCTTACCTGAGTTATCTCGCCTCAACCCATGCCATCATCAAGAGCAAGAAACCCTCAATTCCTTCACATAAATCTCCTGCACCAGCACAATACCATTCCACATCTACCACACTCCCACCCAACCCATCACACCAACCCATCACACCAACTCTACCACCCACGCCACTCCCACCCCCCACAAAACCGATCATCGACCCAGACACGCGTTATTTCCCCCTCTACACGGACCAAAACACACGCGTTCAGACAGACCTGACACGTGCAGCTTGTTAGTGCTTACGCTGTCTCCATCCATGGCTCGGTTCCCCTCTCGCCATCATCCCACGCTCGTTGGTAATTTCTCCGAAAAGGAGCACGGATCATGCCTTGTTTCGGATGTCGGTTTTCTCTGACATGACGGAGCGGGACGGGTCATGCGAGGTGTGGGGGGAGGGTGTTTCGGGGGAGATGAGGTTAAGTGGTGGGTGGTTTGGAGGAGGAAGTGGTAGGGGAGTGAGGGAGTAAGGGAAGGAATGCTGGGGTGGTTTGGGTGGTGTGGGTGGTGGGTAGAGGTGTATAGGAAATGTTGTAGAGGATTTGGTGTTTCGAAGGGTTTTCTCTTGTTAGTAGGAAGTGCGGATTGACGAATTCGATGTCGCTTCTTACTTCAGACTTGCTTTTGCAACATAGGTTCCAAGGGGACGGATTGTGCATGTGAGGTATGGCATGAGTAGCATTAACCTAAGAGATAGCCCCATCTGGATTGAGGTTTCCGTCAGGTTGTCAGGTCATGATGCTTGTGTATGTTTCGATGTGTCCTACATCTAGGTCTAATATTCGCCGTAGCTACTTTTGAGACGGACTCACCTTGTGGGCAAGGTATGAGTTTCGGAATTTCGAGTGGCTCGTCTTTGTGTCATCGCTGTATCAAGGGATAGAGTGGGCTTGAACGAGGCATCATACCACGCTTAAATCATGAACTAGAGGGGGGAGCGAATATGAAAGGGTCATATCGCTGTACTTTTCGTGTATTCCCTCTCTACTGCATTTCTTCAGGTATTAAAAGCCTTAATAACCTATTAGCAACTAAATCATATTGATGAAACTCTACAGTGCTCACCACACACAGTCGCGTTGACAGCTATAAGTGGGTCTTAAAGTCAAGACACCAACCACCTGGGCAAGTATGTACAAGCAGCGACCTCAAAATCTCAGCCTTGACGACAGTTAGCGCCAATCACCTCCTCTCGGAGCCGGATCATTGCTGAAAGACGGATCACTACCTCGGGATATTCTGATCTACGCATAGATTCAAGTTGAGTGCGTGGGCTCTCAGGTAGAGCTTGTGGAAATGTGTATGGCACATTTTGAGGATAGTGTGAAGAAGGACAACGGGAAGATGAGTAATCCGTTTCAGTGTCTTCGTCCGCCAGATGAGATGTGCTTTTTCTGGTCTCCAATCAGCGCTATAGCTTTACTGTATAGTATGCCAGAGGCGACGCCCCGATTCGAGTCGTTGATGCCAGTGCTACTGCTGTTGAAAGGCATACTGTTAAGTTTCGTCCACTGCGAATCCGTAATTGCGTGACGTGCGACGCTAACACCAACATTTCCTAAGTTGATATATTACACGTCACTATACATTGTCACCCGTCACTGAAATCCACATCTCGGTCCCGCATGCACGTCTTGATCTCCGATACTAGACCTCGCAAGATCTGCAACCGCATAACACGGCATCCCACATACTTCAATATCAATCAAGACCAAAAAGGAAATGTTTCAACATCACCGGGAACTGAGTTCGCGAAACACTGCACTCAGTCAAGTGCTTACGCTGACATTGATCCCAGGTCGTAGGATCGATCCCTAGGTCCACTCTCGCAAAAGCTTTTCCCTTGGACGCCTGAACAGACTAAAGCAGCGGAGACACCATGAGCTAGCAGCATTGTGGCTGCAGGATCGTGAGATTGCCCTATTGCAAGGCTAGAGACAAACAAGTGTCACAAGATGCGTGTCGACATTACGCCCTACGCATCCAACAGACTATGCTGCAAAGGGCTTCTGCGCCGTCATGGAATCCACCATATGGGAAGATATAAGCGATTCCAATAAACAAAGAAAAGACAAATCGAACGGAAAATTAAGCTGCTAGCATGCATGTGATGCAGTACGTGATATATCGCTGAGTAGATGCGCGGGACGATGCTGACGCGCGCAGATCGGAAGCGAGGCTTACTGTTACCGTTTAGTCCGCTCTTTGAGGCAGGGTTCGATATTTGTTCGCGTGATTACCCGTTCGTGCTCACTCATTGGCATCTTAAAGAAGAGGCTGGCTGGAGGGCGCGTTTAGTGGCGGCAGTTGGACGGCCTGTACCGTAGTATTAGCGGATATCTGAACATGTAGTAAAAAGCTAAGACATGAACGGGTGAGCGTTTGAGGAGATAATGTAGGGCTGGGATATACTGCATTGCGAAGCGGCGGAGCGTAGATGGCATGCAGTGCCAAGCGGTGGATAGCATCAGCGCTTCCATGAGTTGGAGAAGTTGGAGACAACGTATGGCTCTTGACTGCTGTATAGTATCATACTCGAAACGGCGTACTTTTGAGCAATGTTCCTCATTGCATACACACCCAAGTGCCCAAGCCGTTGCGATGCTTGGCACAGCGGATGTCGTTGAGAAGGGCATCCTTCCTGAGTTAGCACATCGCCAAGACTCCTATCGTGTCACCACCCGCGCAGATATGAGATGACTCAGTAGATGCGATGTGGTGACAAATGGTATAAGCGAAAGGGTGAACAGGCGGGGTGCGCCATTGCGTGGTAACAACGAGCTGTGTGCCCTTGTCAC